TATTTCTTTTTGAAGAAAATTATCAAAAGGTTATTTCTTGCGAAAGCTCGGTGTGAACTATTTTGTTAAACTAGTATAACGCACGTACTTTGCACGTGAACATACATGTTTTGAGCTCTAAATTTTTATTGAATAGTAATTCTATGTGTTAATAAGTAAAATTGTATAATAAGATTGATTAAAAAGAAATTTATGAATTAATTATTATTGTTTAGTTATTATAATTGAATAATTTTCTTACAATGATCATCAAGCGTAAACTTTTTTTTTAAATAAGTCCCCAAATCTAAAATTGTTCTTAAATAAAATTATCAATTCTATAAATTTTCTTAAATATGCCCCTCCAAATTGAAAGTTTCTAACTTAACTCTAAATTAACTAAGCTGTATTAATCTTGCTAGTTTTTTCAAGATGTTCCCTAGATAATTACACTTAATACTTGTAATATATTGCAATAGTTACTTCTCATTATATTTATTTAATAGGGTAAATTACACTAAACCCTTATGAACTTTCAGTCTATATAAACTTTTAAAATTACACAAAACCCCTAATGACTTTTCTAGTTTCAAAGAAGACCCCCAATAACTTTCTGAATTTTGCAAATAATTCTATAAATTAGAACCAGAAAATAACATAAAAAGACATTTTGAAAGTTATTTGGGGTTTGATGTAATTTATCTAAAAGATATTGGGGGCTTTCTACGAAGTTATTATGTGTTTATTGTGTTTTTAAAAGTTCATAGGGTCTATATATTTACAGCAAAATACTGAAAGTTGATGGTAATTTACTTTAATTTATTTTATTTAATATTATAATTCTTAGTTCACAACTGGACTGAATACATGTGGCTAAATATCAAATGGCACCATGTCGCTTTTGGGTAACTTCCTAGTTGAATGAACTCAAAGTGTTCTTAAAATATAACGCCTTCTCTACTCAATTTTACATGTGAACTACAATTATCATAATTCCTAGTTTATATTATAATTCTTAGTTCAAGTAATAATATTAAAATAATTATATTATCTATATACTATAAAAAATTATATTAATTTTTTTAAATTATTCTCTTAAATAATTTAGTACTATAAAATTTTTATAAATTTTTATTATACTACCATTAACAACCAATATTACTATTTAGATAATATTAAATAATTTTATTGTAAAACGATTAGTTCTCAATCATCATCAAGTATAGATTATTCAGTACTATGTAATAATCTTTGAGAAAATACTCTAAAAATAATATTAAATTATTTATTTTAATTTATTTAATAACATAATACTAAATAAATAGTATAATTTGTAATTTATGTGATAGTATTAGAATAATTACACTATTTATGCGATTCAAAATTGATTCTATTTATTTTATTGCTCATTGAATTATAGTATAATTCTTAGTAGTACTTAGTAAAATATATTCTATTTATACTATTATTTTAATTATTTTATTTTAATTCATAAATAATTATTATAATAAATTTAATTGGTTACTACTAATAATGGTGTATACTTATTTTATAAATTATTTTATTTTATTATTTTTAAACAATTAATAGTTACAAAAGTATTGATAATTAAAATTATTTAGGAGGGTGAGGAGGTGCATAATTAATAAGAGGTTATATTTATTTAATGAAAGATTAATTAAAGATAATGAAAAATCAAAAATAGCCATATTACCCTTTTTGTAGTAATAAAAATATCTGTATGAAAAATCAGAAATAGCCATATTATGCGTAGAATTCTATGGGTAGCAATTACAATGAAAAGGCCTTTTTGTATATGTATATCCCAAGAGAAGTAGGAAAGCTCCATATTATAACTATCACGATGACTAGGTGGTTGTAATTTTTGTATAGAGATGGATATACAAAATTGGTTTGTATTAAGTAGGTAGTAGATGATAAATAGTAATATAGACAATAAATAGTAAGGTAGCCTTCATTAATATTGCTTCAATATTATGTTTATAAATGTTTCATTAATTTGTTCTTTTTGCTTATTGGTGTTCATAAAGAGTCATTCATGTTGCAACGGATGGCAATCAATTCTACAAACCTTCCCCTAGACAAATTCAAATAATCTTGCAGCCTTTCCCTTCATAAAAAACAGCTATAACTATAAGTGCAGGCATAAATGAGTTACAACGGTTTTTTTTTTTCTTCAGCAAAATGGGTTGCAACCTTTTGAATACCAATAACAGGTATAACAGTAGACATAAATGAATAAATAATACAGAATACTCTCTTTTAACGATGTTTTCATTAGCTAAGCGCAGGGGCAGGTTTTTTTTAATTATTTTTCTGTTTTTGCAAATAAATTCAATTTTTTAAATATTTTATTTTACCTTTTTTGTACGTGCTGATATTAAAGAAGATTCTATCAAGTAATATGGCCGATTAGGAGCGTGAATGAAACATTGAAACGGGAAATTAATAATTTTAGCTTTAACAGTAATTTGTCAATTTTATTCGTCTATAATCGTAAACTGGTGACGTGCCGTTAAAATGGAGTTCCGTCAACTGATTGTAATTTAGTTGAGGGATCATTGCGTAATCATTACCGGCTTCTCATGTGTTTAGCGCCGTCTCCACTGTCGGCTATGAACCGCGTCTACAGCTACAAAAAAGTCCACATTTATGTAGTTTAATTTCGAGAATACCCTTGAACTCATCACAATTCACAGCTACTCGAGCCTTGGCTTCTCAACAGAACCCCAGACCAGACCAAATTAAGCATTGAACATAAATATGTCATGGGCTTGTATTTTTATTGGACATGCAAGGACCATAGGGAATACAAATAATGAAAAATGCGAGGTGTCATTATTTTATTTTTGTCTCTCATGATCACATAGTAGTAAGATATCTGAAATCAGAACAATATTTCTG